AAAAAAAAAAAAAAAAAAAAAAAGCATCATCCAGTGTCTGCCAATCATCATAACTGTTATGTGGAGCACAATATTTGACATAGGACAAGGATTCCGGATGGTCAGAGTAGTGCATACACTATACGGTGAAACTGACCTAGTCCACCATCACACCTTAAGCACAACAGCTTTACGACCATCGAAACATCACTCTATTCGATCTGTCACATTAATTTCCTACTGGGGCCATGAGAATCAGCTACTTGATAAAAAGCAAGATTGTGTAGACTATTTAATCGAAAGAGATAATCCATTAGACCAGGATAAATTGAATGGATCCCATACGCAATCAAAATGGTGTGCCGGTGTGTATGTGTCTGCAAACATTACTGGAAAAGTCAATGTACTTGGAGCAACGAAAGGCGACGGAGTTAGCATGAGAAGACAAGAAATAGATAGGGAGGTTCTCGTTAGCGGCATTGGCGTCGGCAATCTCTTCGCTGCCATTGCTCCTTTTAGAGAAAATTGATTTGAAGAGCCACAGGTTGTCTGTTTTTCCCTTCTCCATCGATCGGAAAACGGGTTAGCGTGTGCTAGCGGACAAATGGTAGATGCCACTTCATAGGTTTTTTTTTTTTTTCCAAGGCAAATAAGCAGATTTCATAAAACTCAAACCAAAGTTCCGGTAATCAAATGGCTACAACCTTACAAGCCCAACCAAATCAGACCCTCCCAGCACGACCTAGGAAGACCTAGACCTAAAAGGCAACAAGCCTCAAAAGAAAAAAATAGCACACAAACCATTAAAAGAAGTGGTAATGGTCCTTTATAGCATTTAACTAAAACAACAAATGAAATATAGCCATCTTTTTTAAAATGATGAAATATAGCCATTTTGGGTCTTAAAAAGACCAAATTGCCCTTCTCACCTTTTTCAATTTTTACACCTTTTCTCCTTTTTCAATTCTTTTCACCGGCCACTTCGATTTTTAGCAGATTTCAATTTTTTCACCTCTCCCTTCTCTCGCTCTCTTCT